CCATCATGCCAGACTCCTATAGAGGTAACTCATGTAGCGTAGATGGTCGTTGGTTTGTTCTCTGAGCTGGACAGTTTGATTGCAAACGTTTCATCACCAATCGAGATGCATCAATCAGTGGGTTATTGGGAAGCATGGTGCTGCTTAGCGGTGGGGTAGTACTTCGAACCACGTCGATTGGCAATGAAACGTTATCCAGTTGTCATCACCAATCGAGATGACATCATCAGTGGGTTATTGGGAAGCATGGTGCTGCTTAGCGGTGGGGTAGTACTTCGAACCACGTCGATTGGCAATGAAACGTTTGCAATCCAGTTGTTCAGCTCATTGAACAAGCCAACGACCATGCTAGACTCCGTCTATCAGCTTATATTCGAAAACTTGATCACCATCTATTCTTCAGGACATCCATGAAGTCTATATCGTGGAATGCGCTGCATAGATATTCACCAAACAAATACATGCTGCATGGCAATATGAAGCCAAAACATGCGTCTATGGTGAATCGTCACGCCATTTGTCTCTCAACTACAAACCTGGAGGAAAGATGCAAACCGCTTTCTTGCACCTAAGCTTCGGTCGGACTAGCGATTGCGGTGGTTTGATAGTATTTATGGCGGTCCTGGAATGACTGATATGTTTCGCAAATGGGATATCGATAGAGGCAGGCTATGTTAGCACATCATCAACCAATTTTGCCAATTAACAAAACAACACCTGTATATCTTTGTAATGTTGCTGAAAATCCATCGACAGCCCACGACCGGTTTCGCCCTTTTTGGGGCTCATCAGGTAGGCGCAGTCCCCGGGTTTCCGTCAACCTCATGTTCTACTTGAAACCAAATTGCGCGAAATTAACGAATATACACTCATTTGCAAACAAATTTGGTTCTGTGAGAGACTCACCTGGAACGCAGCTGAATCTCTCGTTTATGGTGTTCTCATGATGTTCTCAACATAAAGTTGACAGAAACTCGGGGACTGCGCCTACCTGATGAGTCCCAAGAAGGGCGAAACCGGTCGTGGGCTGTCGATGGATTTTCAGCAACCTTATGAGTAGCACAATACAACGATATACATGTGTCGCGATATTTCAAATATCGTACCGACTGAAACATGAGGCGGCCTGGTGCAGCACGTTCAGTTGCCTGAGAACATCATAAACGAGAGATTCAGCTGGGTTCCAGGTGAGTCTCTCGAAAGAACCAAATTAGTTTGTAAATGAGTGTATATTCGCTAAAACAACACCCGGTTCGGTCGCTCTTCTGATGACAAAAAATCGATGTCTACCCAAGAGTAAGGCACGCAATTTCATGGTTGCGAGACCCAACATGGTTGAAACTGGGCTGAGCACTTAGCAAAATGCAGGAGGAATCTACACCTTGGACCAAGGACTGGGAGCTTACTATGCGACTAGACACGACGGATGCCGATGGATTTTTTTTAAATTACGGGAAAATGCAAATGATTGAAAAATTATTCCCTCTTTCATATACCATCGAGTTTTTGTCCTTTCATCCGAGTATAAGGTGTCTGGTCTACTGAATCGCATGTATCAGGCAATTAACTGAATTCCCAGAATACGAACTCACCTAATTGATTGAATGCTTTTAAGCAAACTCCCGTCTCGCGCATGATGGAAGACCCTAATTTCATGATGTGATTGAGAGTGGAGAACGCGGATAGCCTTCTGCGAATAGTCCTCTCGGCTACTCAATCACAAGCCTATATGATGACAGCCAGAAAACTCATGTACACTCAAACAAATATATTAAAAAATGTGGGAGAAAAACGAGGAGGTGCGATGGCCAGTGAAACAGATTCAAATGAAAGAATGTCAAACGTGTGTTAAACAAGCTTGTGGAATGAAACCGATCAAAGGTAAGCGCAGTTTCAGAGGTAGTTAGAGTTCCTTTTGTATTCGATAGTGGTCTCGATCGTTTTAGAGGCATTCGGCGTATGGTTTGGAATGTGTTCTGTCTGTCTACGAAATGATAAGTCCTGACAAGATGTGAGGTACTTGCTCTTGAGCTGGATTTATTCCAGCTACCGTTAGGGAACACCGAGTTGTGCCCACGTATTCTCTCCGACAAACACCTTGTCACGCGACCAGCGCCGGAAAGCAAGGCACGAGCACATAAAAGGGTACATTTGAGAGTCTGTAATGGGACTTGAGAATCTTCCTTCAAAATGAATGTTGAGGCTGGAACAAGCAAACACAAATCACAGGCAGCCGGAGGCACACTTTAGATAGTCTTGCGCCAGTCAAGCATCTGCCAGGTTGCGTTGCAACAAAGCAGAGCTACTAGAGTGAGCTTTTTGGCCAGTCCAAGATTGTTCCTTCTTGCCTTGCGTTGTGTGGCCCTGTTAGCCTTCCTTAGAATGTCAACATCGAGAAAATTTAGTTTTCTCTTGCACCCGCAGTTATGAGTGCGCTTGATGTTAATACGGACTGTGTATTGAGGCTCTTGAAAATCCCGACTTGGGTGATAGTATCAGTGACATGCACAGGCGTAACAACTGTGCAGTGTAAACTGCCCCATGATACACTCAGATGTTGGGTCCCAGGGGCAGATCTACAAGAAAGAGATCCCGCCGCAACTTCGTCCTCCTGTTGGCAGATAGGAGTTAGGTTGAAAACTGTGTCTGCAAAGCATTAGTGGCTCTTCTAGGTCCGGGTTGACCAGTTGGCCAATGCGGTCAACAAATCCACCCGTGACTGAGCTCAAGCATATTAGTGTCGATACTCCCAAGTTGTTACAGGCTTAGCGGAACTTTAGGTGATGATTTCTCTAGCATCCGCGTCTTGCCTTCTTGGGTTATTAGTTTTCATTTTCTTACCTCATTATTGTAGTCGAATTAAATTGCATAAGTGATTACTGCTTCCTTATCAGGCATAGATATAGCAGGAATTTTCTGCAAAAGTCCTAGAACCATAAAGGGATCCTTTGTCAACAGCTGTCTGAATCTCGGTTTGTAATTGAGGTATTGATAATGCAAAGCAACTAAAGTCAAGTTAAACTTTTCTATATTTGTCTCTGAGGGAAGAACCATTTCAAGTAACTGATCAAATAAATTCCAAAATGAACTTCAAGTCCAAGATGACTACTAATGCAAGGGGACAACAAAATTTTGTACCTGGAGATTCAGTAATAACGATTTCTGCGTCTAAAGGCACGGGATCTACATGCAACTTACGTACGCTCGCACATGTCAAATGGTTAGAAAGCTGAGTCAAACTTAACCAAAAACTCGTTTCCCTGTTTCTCTATTATTTCTTGTTTTATTCATTTGATGCACCGTGAATTTTCTTCAATCTGGTCACTACTTAGTCCGTTGGTACTTAACACAACGTCATCCGAAGGCGTACTTACCTTTAGGTAAAAATACTTTTTAGCAACTCTAGTGGAACCACTTCATTTCAACCTCGTACATATGTGTTCACGGGGCCCACTCTTCACTCGTACAAGTATCGATACGTTCAACATCCTCAGTGTATAACTCACAGCCTTTCGAAGTTCAGGCGGCCAATTAGGATGAAAACTACGTGGTGGATCTGTTCGAAGCATCGTAGTTTTTAAACTAAATTAGCGTGGTAACTGTGTTTCTGTTCTTCTTCGCAAGGCAAGTCATCAGCTCAAGGACCTTCCTACAGCCTACGTATTGTAAACAAGTCCCGAATTGTGTTTTCCGATGTCTACCTCTTTCAACCATGTCTTATGTTTTTGTCGACTGGACAACGGGAGTGAGGGTGATGATAGTGTGTCACCATCCTTTTCCTCAGTTGAAAACATGGAATGTATTCAGTTTTGATAAAATTGACAGTAATGGACATCCTGGGATCGTTACTGGGATGCATTATGGTGCTTTGAATCTACATGGTCATTATTATACTAATAGAATCTAGGATGGCTCCGAGTTTTTATTAGGTTTCTTATCTAACTGTACGCACAATGTCCAAAGAATCATGTCTTGTCTATTTGTATCAATTGATTCTGAAGACGTATAGTCGTGAGCAAGGCAGCTTACTTGCCATTTGATATGTTCGGGCACCGCACGCAAGTTCTTTTGCGTAATAACAACGATGCGGGCCGTGTAGAGTTTCTGCTTTATGGTTTTGTAATGTCTGCAAAGTCAGGACAGCTCACAAGCTGAACGGAAAAAAATGTGATTCTCTCCTGGAAAGTTGTGAAATATGAAAACAGTGACGTATACTAGCTGTTTATTTGCTAACTTGCAACAAGTGCGGTGAACTTTCGCACCATACTCTGTGTGTGACCCCATCGTCCAAGCAAGTACGCAAGAAACTCAGTGTTTAATATTTCGCCATTCAGTATGACGTGCTAACCTTAGCGGATAGAGGGAAATATACTTAATATTTCAACTATTTCAGCAATCAAAGAGCACATGACCTTGTTTTGGTAGCCCAACCTCAATCCTGATGCTTGTGGAAAAATACTTACCAGGCCACAAAAAAAAACCGGCTGTCTTTGAGATTTTATGGCCTCAAGGTTAACTGGTGTCTTTGCACTCTAACTTAAGTGAACAAAAAATGTCAAGGACGAAAGTACGGTCTCCGAATTGTGGTTGTTGATCAGGTGGCAGTTGATCTGCCACTCGAGCCGGTCAGTGGGCGTGCAGATTATTCTTTACCAACCGAGAATATATGATGAGTGGGCGCATGTCTCCTGCCGGCTTTTATTTCCAAAGAGTACCTGCAATTTCTTGGTGTGGTTTGCCGATAGGGAGTAATTTTCTGTCAGTTTCATTGGTCTTCTCATTTATTGCGAAAAGTTTGCATGCCGTTTGCCAAGGTGACCGGAAACATCAATAGCTCCCTGATCAAAACCGGGGTTATCAATTCTTCGACATACGACTATCACTGAGGTGGGTGATCTTTGACAACTTTTTTGGAATAATAGTAACAAATCTGAGTGTAATTGAGTAAAACCAACTAAAAGTCGATAAAATGAAGTTCTTCATTTCTGTACCCTTTACAGGTGTAAATATTTCAAAGGTAGAAAACTCTTGGGAGACTGGGATCTTCGCGTGGAACAAGTGAGTGCACTTCTTGGTATTTCTTGAAGTACATTGCACACGGTACAAATTGTTTAGCAAAAAAGCGTCACTGCCTACACTAGTTGTAAACGGTTGATAAGACTGACCGAAAATTAGTTCATTCATCTGATTCGATGCTGTGTGTGATCTCTTTTATGTGATGTTTCCTACGAATGAGCTATACTTTTTTTTCAAAAAAGCCAAAAGTTTGCCTTTCACCGGAAGTGGTCTGGATGGAAGGCACCCCCGGAAGTGAATGATTCTAAGTGGAAAACGAAAATAAATAAAATAAAACTGCACGGAGCCTTAGCAACCAATAGTGAATGCTCAATGTGGGCTCATCAAGCTCAAGTGATTTTAAGCATTTCTAAAAAAACAGCATTCCCAGACGTCTGGATCTGTCAGACTGTCAGATATGCGAGCAAACTGAGAGTGCAAAAGGGTTCAGGACGTTGATTTCACAGATTCAGACACAGAATTCCTAACCACGTGCACACACATCAGCGTTTGACCCAGATTGATTCACTGCATTGTCGTCCTCTGATCCAAAGCGACGAACTCAATGTGTAACACTGAAGTTCACTCGTTTTGCTCATAAGTACTTATGGCAAATTATTATATTGGTGCTTTTAACATTTACTTGGAAAGAGTCTGACTTTAAGCCTACATTACGCATGAACTCTGAGTGACACAGTGGGTTTCCACCGGTGGATACCAGCATTAGTTTGGAGGCGTTCCAGCAGATATACAGGAATGTTTCATAGTGCACCAAAGTCAAGGATAATTAAGCCAAATATTATATGTTTCTATTCCTAGGCAAAACTGATAGACAATCATTCTGAAAAACTGAAACTGGTAATTATGGTTCCCATCCATTCTGAAATCTTTCACCCTTTTATTGGTGTGAATCCCCTTCGCATGGGGAACGTCTCTGGTGATATGTCTATCCTTGAGGAGTTTCCATTTTACTCTGTCACACATCTAATCTTTTAGATCTACTTACACTTTAAACCTTGTTCTTCTGTTGCAACACAAAATTTGGATTGCATCTTAAGGATCTCGAAACTCCAAGCCATAAGAAGCCTTTCAGACTTATCGATACACAAGTTGACGTAAGGTGGCCGGGAAGTGACCTTCTGTTCAGCAATTTCAGAATGTTCCCCTCTAGGGATCACACGCTTAGCGACTGACCCAATCAGACTACCTGGCTCATGACGAATAGTCAGAATGCTCTAGACCGATCTTGACCCTCCAATAGGATGTGAAAATTACTGTGCCAAGAAGTTGAGAGTTGACGGGATCTCCTCATAACAATAACAATAATAATAATAATAATATAATGATTATTATTGATTGGGCTAATGCTACTCACTGCAAAGTTCAGGCGGAGTGCTTTGCAAATTCTTTGTTTTATTTGAGGAACGGTAATTATTCAGGTAGCGTGTTTTCCGTCTGCTCGTCAGTTCTTGGAAGTCACCGCCCTGGGAAAACGTCCAACCAGGCTGAAACAACTTTCCACATGGGTACCATTCGGATATGCTTCATCTGTCTACTTCTTAGTATGACATATTCCGTGTGATTTCCCTCCCATCCAGAAACACATTAATCAACTTTGGTTTTGGGATGATAGACCTTCCAGAGCTGTCATTCGGTGCGGAAAATGGACAGATCTCGTGATTCGTAGAAGTTTCCTCTGGTGCATGATATCGCAGTGTATATGACGAATTAAAAGTGAACAAAACGTACTCTGAAGTGTACTGACACAATGCCTGACTGGTGACACTCACGATAGAAATACATTAGGACTCACGCACAAAACACAATGCAGTCGTGCTGAAACAATAATCAGTTTTGCTTTTCATTCGGCGTTGCGAAAAACTGACACAATAAGTGCAAACACCCCTCCCGTCGGATAACAGATACACATAGGCAAAATTTGATTGCCTTGGCTAGTCATTATAGTTAGTATGAAAGTGGTATTTATTCTCAAATAACTAATGACGATTCCCAAGGATTTCAATAGATTTTATCACCGAGGCACCACTTTCTAGAATAACAGACAAGACGGAACAGTCGCATGAGGTTGCCTTTGATCTTGCCCTGAAGCACCGCGATTGTAAAGAGTGCCAGTTAATTCCCCGATAAAATAAACGAAGGACGACCAAACAAAGTGTGAAAAGAGAGGCTTAGACCTATAGCACAGTCCCATTGAGCGTCATCATTGCGCCCGAATTATCCAAATCGATCGACGGTAGTGTGAGGAGATTTCGTGATATTTAAATCGATATTTCGCGTTGTGACTAAAGCCACTCTATGCTGAAAGGTTTAGCAGCACTGCTGGTGATTCCCGATAGAGATGAAAAAGCCATACACGATGCTTCTTGGCTTCTTAACATAGTTTGGTTTCACTTACAGGACCAAATCTCAGTTTGAAAGTAAACCATCGGATATCTATGCAACCGGAACTTCCAACATTCACATCATTAGCAAACGATCAAGAACAGAATGTTTTATACCTTGAGAGACCGTTGTAGTTGCATGTCCATGCTGAACGGACACGGATCAGTGTAAAGCAACTGTCCTTTCAGCAGGCTACTTAGATTGAATGGGTTTTATATCCCACGAACTATCCAGCTTTGTGCACGTAACAGCGCTCAGTCAGACAGCAGTCGCCTAGATTCCTTACGATCTTGCCAGACACACCCAACACAAACCTCTCTCCTTTGAGGGTTTTTGGAGAAAGAACAGCAGATTATTAAAAAACGCCGGCTAGTTCCCCTAGTCCTTGGTCCAATCAGTTAATCTGGTGGGGTTTAGCTGCTATTGCGGTAATTTTAATTCCATTTGAGGTACTCACACACTACCTTTTGGCAGCCATATAGCGGCAAGCTAACACCTGTCGTGCTATGGGGATATCCGGTGACTGTAAACTTTCAAGTTAATGCTACTAGACAGGTTATGGTTCAAAGCCGTAAGCTGTGAGTACAATTTTATGGTCGTTTTGTGGACACAGCTCTTTTTGAGGGAGTCTCTTAGTTCATCCGGATGTTAGCAATTAGAATGCTTAAAGACCTGGTTAGCCACAAATTCTCGTGAAAGGCCAGCTGATCTCCAAGCCAGATGAATGGATTCCAATCACGCCTTGTGGGCTCCTGTTTGCAGCAAAATTTGGTTGCGATATCGGGGGCGAAGTTCATGAGTTTTAGCTGAACCCTCATAATGAGTGGATTCACATCACAATGCGAATGCCTCATTTGCAGCCACCAAAGGCGCAGGCTATTCCGTTGGCCCAACCTCCTCTCCTGAAGTTTCAGGAAGTGGATGTGGAAACAGAGAAACCCGAAGTAAGAAAATGCATGTCGAAACGAGGACTTACTTGAGACATTCTGCTTTAAGTAGAGTTTGTTAATTTATGAGTGTCAGCTACGAAAAAGGATCCTTTCTGCATTGTACGAGTCTATTACTTTAGCATCTAGATTCGCCTTCGTTATTGACTAAGTCGAACAGAATTTGGGAGAGAAATGGGACGCTTCTCGTGAAATTCACCACTTTTGGAGAAGACTCTGGCAGGGTTTAGTGTAAGCACTATGTGGCCAAGGGTACTGAACAGAATATGAAAGTGTACTTTCAAACGTCAGCGGTGTTTAACAATGTGGAAACGGCTTGTCCACTTATGGAGTCAAAAGCTTCCTTGAAGTGTGAAAAACGTAGGGTGGTTAGTTGAACCAGCATTGCCTCAAACTATTTCGTCATACACGCCTCTAGTGGAATGAGGAACGACGAGATGAACGAAATTTAAGCAGTCATGTTGAAATTTCTCGGTAAGAGAGCATAGCGTTAAAGATTGATTCCATTAGTCATGTGTCTGACAAGAAAGCCCGAAGAATTCGGTTTAACCTGCTTCACATTATCAACGATTGGCATATATGTTGTTGAATTGAACACTCCTTTATCTGGGCTTCGCCTTAACTGAATAAACAATACATGAGATGTTTGAAGAGTAAGTTGGTTTGATTTTCGAAATGTTACAGTAGCCTTAATGATGTAGCATTCACCTCACCACTAAATAGTTTAGATAAAGGCATTGTTTCTATCCTGGCTCTACTATTTGCAGTATGGCAGCTGTCTGCTAGGTTGGAAGTGTTGGCTCTAAAAATGTTCATGGATTCGGTTATATGTTCGACTCTTCAAGGAAATCTGGCAGTTTTATCTGCTTAATCTGCTTCCATCAGAGAATATTTTAGAGGTTGAGTGGTGTGGATCAACATCGACTAGAAAGGTTATCCTGCGTGTCAAGTCAATATTTGGCCTGCGTAGCATGTAACCGAACCAGTATAGAACCAACTATTGGACACATTTGCAGAAAATCACCTTATATCTCGTCAGATATTCCAGTCGTCGATCGGAAACTCAACTCACGACCAAAACCTGCCAAAGACTACCTACATCGCTAACTCAGAAAGTCTCGTTGGCTATATACATATCAGTGGAAGGGTGACCTTTGCGTAAAACCTGATGATGCGTTACAGTTTTGGTCTCTGTTGAGGTTCCCGATACGGAACTTTGAGTGACGCGTAGGTTCGACAACCCCGAATATCAAAAGGAAGAACTGGGCTCGAAATTCTACAATACTGTCTACACAAACAAACGTATAGAACAAACCTCAATTGTTCACGTTCGTAGTGCCAACAGGTGCGCATGTCTGTCATTGACCGGTACAGTGCAGTGTCAATGTCCGCACACCAAGCAACGGAAAGCGGAAGTTTGGCTCAATAGTGTGGGTTGCGACCGTCCCTTCCGAGAATAGTCTCGTGATTCTCATTGGCGGTGCGAACCCATGGAACTTATGAGAAAACAAGTCAAGGCAGACTCAGCAAACGGGACACGAACGAGTATGGGTAGGTAGGTCAACTGCGCATATTCACACAGGCGCACAGGTGTTGGATGAAGCGGCTTTTCAGCAAGGTGAGTGACCGGTACAAATGAGCAAAACAAGTAGAGGTTATAAGTTCATCGGCGAAGTGAATGGGGTAATTATCATGAAGTCAAGTTAGATTCAACAGTCGCCAACAAACGGATAAATCATGTAGCTGTTCTGGCATTTTCGGTCGCTTGCTTCTCTTTTCAGCTGGTTAGTTTGTAAAATAACGAACCAATGGCATTTGGAGAAGGTAAAGCAGGCGCTTTCTTTTTCTTCATTGACGGAGGATGTCTGTAACGGACTCCAGTGCTGTGTGTGAATTTCTAATCCAGCAAGGGTTATATAAATTGACTGAAGACCGCCTACTGTGCTGTCAGTTCGTTACTCAGAATGACAAATTCATGAGCGAGGTCAGTGTCTGAGCTAATACACGAGAGGCCATTAGGGCGTGCCCCATTATTGAATCAGTCACGATGAGTCGCACCAGTCATCAGAGACCAGGATTCGGGACAACTTCCATAACATTCACTCGAATATGGATGTTATTTTCGAGTGACAAGCTGTGATAACAGTCACCAATTACCGCGGATGGCCATATGCCGCTATTAATGACCATTAGGGTCAGTTTGGACCGAGTCAAATGCTATTTCAACGTAAAAGAAACGGATAACGGTCAAAATTTAAAGCGGCCTTTTTGTGACAAGACACAGTAATCACCTAGTTCATCGCTTGGACTGGTTTAGGACTCCACGTCCTCACAAGCAGCGTGAATAGAGCAGTAGCACCCTCTCATTGTGGGTCCAAGTTATGCTTAGCATATTGTCTTGCGGCTTTTATTGGATGTGGAAGATGAAACTAAAATGCCTGAGTGTTCTGTGAGCATTTCCGTGTTTCGAGCAAAACATCTTGTGAACAGCATCTATGGAATATTCGCCTCCGAAACATCTTTGGAGGTCTCAACTTCTCGCGTGCACGTACTGGTTTAGAGAATTGTGATTATCTGTTGATTCCACTCCAAAGGAAGCTCCCAGTATACAGTGAACTAGCCTGACAGCGTATCAACTAGAATTGGCACCTGATCCATGGAGGGTAGAGCTACATGCTCACTTCTTCGCTTTTTCAGTTTAGCATGAAGGTTGCAAATCAAGGATTTATCATCATCATCATCATCATCATCATCATCATCATCGTCATCATGTGTTGACACTGATGCTTCACTGACATAAGAAGAACTTATCAACTTGTTTTTGCCTAGAAGTCCTGCGGATGAGACCAAACAGCTCAGAGAAGTCGTTAGTTGTGTGTCTGACGCCAGCTGCAAACAGCGCTTTACGCCACCTGTCTTCGCTCACTAGATAGCTTGCCTGTGTATCCCTCATAATTAGCTGGGTTAGAAACGTGCGCCTACACGCGCATATACTACCGGCCTGAGCAGTTCGACCTGTCTACGTAAATCTGTGTGACGCTGCGAAATGCAACTGTGATAAGCAAGCATACAACGGATTTTGGGATAATGAGATCTTAACAGATTATTATTGGTCCTATGTAGACGAAAACCTGATGGTGGGGACATTAACCTTTTCTGGGGAGGGACCAATGTCCTTTTAAGGTGTCGTCAACGCAGGGTTCATTCGAGACATACGCAAGAAGTTACTGTAAATTATTCGTGAAAAGACGCGCTTTCTTTTCGTTATTTATCCCAGAGGTACTAGTGACCAATTACACTGACGGTACTTCAATATTCATGTAAAGAATTGTGCTTCACAAATTCTTAACGGAGGTTCTTTTTTATTCGACCTAAAAAGGAGCTCAGGAGGGTGTTTAAACTATTTATACCCAAGGAGACTTTTCTTAAGTCACTCGAGGTGCCTTTCACACGTGGGGAAATCACACCACAGCTACCTAAAGCTTGCTATCTGTTGAACGGATTTTTCTGAAAGCTGTGCAACTAGTTTACTAGAGGAAACACTACTTATAAGGTTTCTGAAAACCCTTGGACAGTCGGTGAAGGTTTTCACTCTTTTTGGGGCTCAGTCCCCAAGTTTCCATCAATTGTATTTTCTACTAAACTCAGATTGCACGAAATTTGCGAGATACATTCGTTTGCGCACCACTTTGGTCACTACAGGAGACTCGAAGGAATTACCGCCTGCGCTTTATTGAATATCGTACCAAAGTAAACATAAGGCAGCGTTTGTGCGTAACATTCAGTTGTTGAATTTCATAACGGAAGATTCAGCTAAAATTTAGTTGAGTGGTCCGTGAAAGCCAACTTGGTGTGCAAATGAACGTATTCCGCGGACACCAAGACAGGTTTATCTGCCGGTTACCATTTGGCGTTATATCCAAGATTTCAACCATGCAATCATTAGACTATCCCTTCGTAAAACTAAGGGATAGCCAACATACTTTAGTAGCGTATGGTACATGTTAGCAGTAGGGTGTTCGGGTCCGGATGACTAAAACCGTCACAGAAGTTTGACGATTCCCCGCGTCGAACGTTCACTTGAAGCCCCTGTCATACGATAAGCGAGGACGATGATGATGAAAAGAGGAGCAGTACCATACGGACCCTCACTGAAAATCGAAAAATCATTCTCAATAATAGTATAAGGTTACAAACATCCGAGCAACGTATCCTGTTGCCAGTGATTGATCAGTTGTGTGAATGATTTCCGTGCAGACCGAATAAGGCGCAATTCAGCTCATTTAATATGATCCCATGATAATACCCACAGAAATCCAGAAATCCAGAAGTTGTAACCACCAGCATGACTATTTCGTTTCGTTTTCTGGAATTTTCTTGTTAATTAGGCTAATTTCTCGGAAATCACAATGACGGCTTACAGCGAGCGAGGATGCGTGATCAACATTTATCAAGGATTGAACCAGACGAAACCAGTCAGGTGGGTCATTTTCTAATCAAATTTGTCCCCTCTCTCTCCTACTGATTGGTTCAGGTAGATTCATAACACAGAGTTTGTCTGTCTGTTTCTCATCTTTCCACAGGAAAATCGATGAGCGCTGTTGGATAAAATTATGGTCAGTTATTAGAGCCCATCGCGACACTGAACAGTTACGCGAAAATCCTAATTTGCAAAACATCACGAATATTTCTCATTTTATGCAAAAGATGAAAAATCCACTGTCAGCAGTTAAAAACTGATTCGCTTCTGTTCATGTACGTGTAATTCGACTGAAAACGTAAATAAAAATAGGTCACAGTCACCACTGGGAGCCTTGGACAATGGAACACACAAATTTTGTAAACTTATTGTCTTTTAAGAGCCATGAATCTGGAATGACATTACGGTTTAAAATTGAGGACAATTTAACAGGTTCAATCCTGGATGGACGGTTCGAATTAAGGAGTGTCCCGAAAGTCCACTGGTATATCTACACAACGTTACCAGGCTGTGAAACAGCAGGTAGGTGATGACGCTTTCATTCAGTCCCGGATTGCGTCAATCTCATTCGGAATAGACTACCATGAAATAAAATACAGTGGAAAATCCCAGACGTGGTTTCTCACATCGGGCTTGGGAAGGTTTGGGTACAAGGCCGGATGAGTGTGGATGGCAAAACCAGCAACTGAACTAACCACCCAAAACTCACCCCATTTATCGATCGGATTCCCGGTTTCGTCCCATTAGTTACAATTGCTTAGGATACGTGGGTTTGTGAATTCCGGAGATCGAAACTATGTAGTTCAGTAAAGCTTCGGAGCGATTATGACAAACAGCTCACAGATTTAAGCAAGCCGTACCAATCATTATTTCAATTTGAGATACATTTCGACATTGTGATATGAAAAAAAACTTCATCGAAATTTACGTTCCTTTGGATCCAGAACTTCGGGCAAGCGACTAGGAAAGCAACTCCCCCTAAATTGCGTATCATAGCTTGGAGTCAAGAAATCTCTTAATCTCAAGCGTAGGATAAAGCAAAATTTTCATTCAGAACTATCAGTGTAACGGTGATACTACTGATAGGGAGGCACGTGAGTAGTATGTGTTGTCCCTGGAATTTCGATTTGCGTCTATTGAAAAAGAGAGATCTGTTGCGGAATTCGTAGAGCCACTTTATAACATTTGCTTGGATTTTACCGACGAATGAAGTGGAGTCAATGAATCACTAGGAAAGTTCAAGAAGACCCATTGGGGAGAAGATCGGTGCCCAATTTTTGTAACTAAGATGCAGATTAGAGTTTTGCTTCCCTGTTCAATTTTTGTAACTAAGATGCAGATTAGAGTTTTGCTTCCCTGTTCAATGGTCTGTAACTCCGCAGGGAAGGCCTTCCTCTCACCAGTAGGTTCTATGTTAAAATTTTTCAGGCATAAACAACTTAATTTTGAATGGTTTGCACTCCGAATGTCGAACACTGCTTCCAGATTTATACACGGAGCAACTGATTCAGAAAGTTGATGTCTTTCGACTACGCAGACCACTGTTTGCGTGAAAACAACGAATGGATATTTCATCAAGCAGCGGACTGCTTGATTTTTATTCTTCACTCAATAGGTTGGATGGTTTAGAAAGTGTGTTGTGCCCCGATGGAGTATGCCTCGGGAGAATAAGGGAGCCCGGAGTGACAACTCGTTGCGCGATTGTTAATTTGTACTTAAGGCTGCTCTGCTTGGCGCCGGGGCTCTACGGGGGCTGATGTCGCGCAACACAAGAGCTGATGTTCCTTGAGCCTTCATCCTTGCTTTTAAAACGACCAACTGACGTTACATTGCGAATTTACTTACGGATCACTTAATACGTCAATTTTACCAACGTTCTCAGACTATTTGATAAGCCTAGTTAGATTACGACAGTGCTTGATGGATAAGCTTCTCCTTGGATTAGTACAATGCCGAATTATGGGGCTGCTACCTCATCCTTGGTTAGTCCATTCATTGAATGATTATCAATTTTTCAGGGGAACAGGAAAGTATAGGCGAAAGTATAGGCTACAACGGTCACCTCATCAAGCGAGCAAAGGTCTCGATACCGTTTGTCTGCATAGATCAGTTCAAACTCTTTGTGGCTGACGTGTAAACACTCATAGCAAACACTCATATAAACATGGACTCAATGAGCGATTGGACTGTGCGGAACGACAAATTATCGTGCTGTAGTAAGTACGGCCAAATACAAGGTATTTAGTGTAACCGATTCAGTCGTTTCCCATACAGGCGGTCGCAGCTGATTGACGACATTTCCGATAGGCGGATTGGAAATACACGTTAGGTTTTTCTGCTTCATGTAAACTTTTCGTTACAAGTTTCGGTGACATCAAATGCCATCGGAATGCTGCCGGCGTGCGTTTAGTCACTGCAGAATAGAGTACGGGTTTTGGCGCCGAACGGTTACGACAGGACGACACAAGTTACGTAAGTGCATTCACACGATAACACTCCAGTCTAAACTGTGGAAAGGAAAAATTGTATCAGAGTAGAAGGGTTCCCCAAATAATACTCACGAAAATGATTCTATCAGAAAATTTGTTTATGTATGTGGTTTAGCGAGACAAGTACTACTGTTTGATGGTAATCCTGAGTTCATCTAATATGTCCCATAAAGCAAGGAAAGAAGAGGAAGTTGGGTTGATGTGGAGTTGTTTGTGGTGCGCAAACCTTGCCCAAATTTGATGCACCGAGTTTGGAGACTCAACACACTTCAACATAGCTTAGGTTTGTCCAGCAGTGAAGTCAGATAACTGCCAGTTAATGAGTTATGTGAGACGTTTCTGGTTTCAGTAGTGCGTTTTTATTGGACGAGCTGGACCAAGTGGTTAGAGCCCGAATTTACTGACCGGAAGACCCGTGGTTCGAACCCGACTTCTGCCTCTTGACTTGCCCTGTCTAGGCTTGGGCAACCTGGCAGTATCCCAGCCCTCGTGACTCCTTCGTGTGGCATGGCAGCTAGGCACCGAAAGGGTACTACAGCTGAACAGTTTTATTAAACTGCTTTTCGAGACCCTATACTGACCAGTCAGATATCGTGCGAGTGAAACAAACGATTTCTTCCGGTATCTTTAGCATCTGTTATTTTTAAAGAGGATTTATCTACTCTTTCTGAGAAAACCGTATAGCGTCTTCGTCCGAATCGTACAACGCATATGTTGTTTTGCTAGATAAATTCGAGCGATCAAGTGCATCTGTTGTCCGATCACCAATTCCGTAGGAACTCACATACTTCCAAGAAACTCTGCTACACAGCATACATAAACAAGGAACAGTTAGTTTTTTAGGCATCACTTCAGTCGATTTGAAGTGCCTAACGAGGAGAATCTGAGGTTGCACACTGCCTAAACCCAACAGACTCTGCGGTCCCAGGTGATGCAAATCAAACTCTAGGCGGTGTGTCTCTGTTTCCCAATGGGATGTGATCAGCCATCTGCTGTCAGTGTTCTAGTCATAACGCCACTTACTGTACTGTGATACCTTCCCATCTTGTTTCCCCTACGATCCTCTCAACAGTTCTTCGCTGTCCTTACAAATAACACACTTTAAACAACCATTCAATATTCTTCTTCAGATCCTTCAAACCAGATTTTGTTCTGCTTCGACAACATTCAAGTGGCGCTAATGAGGACTGGCAACCGATATTAACCGGACTAATGTACGCGGGTACTCCATGTATGAACACCCTTCATGCTGTGTACAATATGAAAAACAGACCGTGGCTGGTGAGTCGCTTAAATCTTTACTCATCTGAAATCTACCATAACGACGGATAATTAGAGAATGGTAAGCTGAACTTCTGCCTCGAAGAATACCATCAGATTGCAGTGGTTATGATATATTTAATTGGGAAGTATTTATCAAAACTCCTGTTAATTACAATCGTGGCAAAATGGATTTCATGAACTAAATTTCGGCGCATAGGATAAATTTAGGATTGTGTCTATAAAAGGCTACTGAATGCTTATGCGAATTCACTTTTGTGATCGGTTGCTCCACTTTTTTCCTCGTGGCCAAAGCATGGACCTTTGTGTATCGTAAAAATTGTCCCTTGGGTGTCGGTTACGGATTGTTAAGTGAACTGAACTAAACATGCCTCGCAATATTGAATTTTTTTCCGGTTTCACTTGAATAAACGTTCTGAACAATGAGACCACAACATCAGCTGCACCAGCTGTTTAACAAGACGAGAGGGCTGGGAGGCCGCAGCGCGATTGGTGGAGTTATACAGAAATACAGATAGGTTTTCGACAACACTGTGTTTCCAACCTATTTGGCACGGTACCAATTTGCTGCCCTCATTTTTCGCCCGTTTTTGGCGCTAAATGTTATTTTGTGCTCCGATTCATTCGATGCGAAATGCAGGTATGGGTTTTCTTGAGTTTCCACTTTGCCATTTTGCAAGCCCTCAACATGCGTGAAACTAGTCATCACCATTATCAATGCAAACAAGTTTCGACCGTTATATATTACCCAACTCTGAATTGGCGTGGTTAGACATGTGTAGAAGGTTGCGGTTCTGCGTGTGACCTGTGCTAAAACCGACATAGAGGTAGTCATCAAATGTCGTAGGCAACTTTGTGGTTGAATACAGCCGTTCATTCTTTCATATCTACACCCCAATTTCAAGTCCAGTCACTAAAGCGCTCCTCATATAAAAAAATACGCTGCTAAACTTGCTGCATTTTGAACCAGTAGAACCTACTTAGCTGAACACTGACCATCGGCTACAAACACTTCGTCAACTTTCCTGGGACAAGAAGTACGCCCATTCAACCAAGAAAATAGTCACCCTGGAAGCATGGGGCTTGTGGTGGCATGAAAAGTTCGTAGCTCAGCTGTTTTGTGGAGAACTCTTTGGTTTGCAGCGGACCGGAACGTATGTATCAATCAGTTTTAATTGCACTGGACACTTTCCGGGATCAATGAAATACAATCTATCGAGAACTTTGATCCAGCAAATTAAGAAAAGTTGGCACTTTCCAACATTTAGACGGTGGTTAAATCAAGTAAAAGTCCTTCTAACCGAGTGCAATTTTATTGGCAGAAATCCAGATGGGTTATACTAAATCATTTCGATTGCTTCAATGAATAATGAGGTGAATGAATGAATGAACGGGATGGGAATGAATGAGATGTCAGTATCGTTCTCACATGGGAAACGCAACTGTCAGGTTTGGAACAATCGTCCCTGCCGGTAGTTCATATTGTGCGACAAACCTCTCGGTTCTTGTCTTTATGCGAGTGATATCACTTAAGGAAATCAATAATAGAAACGTAAACATAACTGAGAGCATTTAAATGATAATTTTATGGGAAATATTTGAACAACTACTGCTAACGAGTAGTCACAACTGACCGTTAGATATCAAAAGACCGTCGCATAATTTGACCGGAAAGTCATAAAAAGTAAGGTGGTCATTGAAATTCTTAAGACACTTGTTTGAACTAACTTTTGGTTATGAGCCAATCTACCGATCGTTACCAAATTTCTCCGAAAACAAAGTACATAGCCTATTGCAATGCAAACAAGTTCGCTTGTCTCTGACCAATAACCTCAATAGCTAACCCAAAACACTTTGGTCAAATTCATAACGTTCCAATAGAGATTTTGTGATCGCACCTGTCAAAGCATGTGAAATCATCAAGACGCTTTTCAAAGCTATCGCTTTCTCAAAGGATGCTTCACAGAATATCGTGTTCAAAAACATTTCAGGTAGGCTTTAGTGTGAAAAGAAACTGAAGTCTGTTAGCCCAACAAATAATTTGGGGATTTTAAATGTTACAAAACAGCCAATCTATTCGACTTCTCGGTAATGCCGCATTTACCGTGCTCCAAACACCACCTCTGGAGTTTATGCCGCTTAATGTTCGGTCGTTTTTTTATTGTAGTGGTCTAGTATGCAAACTAAAAGACGAGATGTCCGGCGCGTGGAACCTTGTTGCTCTTGGGAATGTAACATTTATTTTACTTTGCCCGTTTCGAATTGCATGTGGTGCACTGCTACTCGAAAGCGACCGTGAAAAACGGACTAAAGCGTTTGCAGTATTGCGCGGCTTTCCTAGGCAGATATTGTTGGTCAAATGTCCGCACCTTTGTCGCTATCAGAAATCTCTTCTATTTCCTAGGTATTGAGGTAGACTAGCTAGCTTGCGATTTTTACTTTCCGGCAAAATCCAAGATCATTCTTGCGGCGCTAATGCGTGTTGCCCAGGTCATCATGACTAGAAAAGTTTGCGCATAACTTCTTTCATCTCTAGAATGTGGCATGTTATGAAACGAACAACCCTAAATCCAAATGACGTTGTATTCAAGACTGGATAGGTAATGTACCAGTTAGTTGGTTTTCTCTCAGTAGCAAAATCAAATATGATTTTAATTTCACGCAGCAAAACGAATGGGCGACAATCCCTCATGCTTAGAGTTCGTTTTTTCTTTTGGTAATTAATTCTTCGTTGACCAGAAAAAACCTCAAGAGTACTACAATTTTCGGGAGGATCACTCGTATTTCGACTACGAAACACTTCTTAGCGCTGAATCTCTCTGACAGAGACCACTTCTCACAGATCTTGAATCGTTCTTCCGGATGGTTGCTCCTGTGCCTAGGCAATAAGGCTGAAACTACTTTCCGAAAATTATCTTACTCCAATATTATTCAACATTCACATAAACGAGGTTCTTTAGAGGAAGAAGCCGTGCTTTGTGATCGGCCAAAGCGTTTCAAATCAAGAGCAATGGAACAGTGCTTCCTGGTTAACAAGACTAAATTGTTTTAGTAGGTGTTCCCAAAAGAAATATCCAACCGGCAAGAACAGAGTACCTTTCGTCTGCAACTCGATTGCTCACGAGTCTTGCACAGTACAGTCACATCTTGTTTAGCTTATCCTTTCTGTGCATCATTAGGATAGGCTGCGTAACACTCTGCTTATTTTACCTCCTACATGGAATGCCTCTCTGTTCATCAATTAAGTGGCTTAGGTAGTTTCTAGCCCCCCGTGAATCGTCAGAAAACTTTGCAATTTCGTCTAAGATCGATCCGGAACATAAGAACTATTTGTATGTCTTTCCTTCAGTTCGCTCACTTGCTCCTACTGCGCAATCGACTGGGGAAAGAGGCATTTCCTCTCATTACACAGGTATACCACACCAGCCACAAAGAAATGGTGAGTTTATTCATCCATTCAGTACTCTTCCATTCTTGCGCGTGTTTAAATCTAACCTCCTTATCAAAACGATTATGTGCAGTGAAAGTGTTAGTGTTTTAAGATGCACTTCTCCAGAGGTTTCAGACGTTTCAGCTTTCTGCTGGTCATAGATGACGCCTAGAATAGACGCCACTGCTTATCCGCACGCAGACATTACGACAGCTTTTATTTTTCATTCATGCGTGGGACATCTTTTGATCTATCAACTTTATTCTTGCTTTTGCCGATTAGTAAACGGCAAGATTCGTCTCATCCAAGTGAAAGTTTATTCTTGATCATATTGGGAGGATATCGAAGTGCGACGTAATCACACTGTTAACTGACCATTCGTGGCTGAGTGGTCAAGTGTCCAAACTACTGGCGGGAGGTCGTGTTGAGATGCGCAATGCAATGATTCCTGGTAAGGATGAGGCAAGTGTACACTGCTCCTCGACTTTTCCACTTGGATTGGTTTCACCTACAGTACAAAATCTCAATTGAACAACACCAGGACAATTTAAGTAAACCGTTTTCAGTAACACAATAGTTCATTTGAACTGAAAACGGATCTGCGAGGCTCGTTAGTTGTAGAACATTGATGGAATGTCGAAGTATCTCTTATTCGCAGAGTGTGCAGCGCTGGCAACACCAAACAAATTTACAAACACAGCCGATTATTTTGAATTTATGCTCTTAATTTGGCTTTATTACATCCGTTCTCCCGGAGTTTTTCGAAACCGGCTAGTGAGAAAGCAATCCGGGTTGGTTGAGTTGCTTTGCAGAAGTAGCTTCCGACATCCTGGAGATTAGTCGACTTCTAAGCATCTGACTATCGATGCTCTGATAAACCCATTTTAAATCCATTCCGAATCTCACAGAGAGTCCAGTTCACGACACATATTTCCTTTAGCAAGTAAAAGTATGAACCAAGTTTTTCATAGTGATATTTGGAGATATATGAGTAGTCAGATTGAGTTTATCGGATTATAAAGCTATTCAATAGTACAGAAAACAAATTTGACGCAGCGAAGATTATAGGGGAGAGGAAAAATCTGGTGCCTTTCCCATTGAAAACTGATGATTACGTTGGTTGGACGATACAGTGATCCTACAATGACATTATTCGCCTTCGGGTGTGCTGGCGGTAACCCTGGGGATGGGAAGGAATCTCTGAATCAGATAATTATCCTGTTTTTCTATTTAGGTTACAGCCCCTGCATTTCCCACAATCATCAAGGTTGGACTTGGCCATGGAGGAGAAGGAAAAGTGAGTGCTACCTTTTGACGTTGTCTGCGTTGACTTGCTTCACAAAGCGCATAAAGCCTTACATGAAACAAGTCTTACAATGACACAATGTCCGTGTGTTGACGTTTTACATACCACCCAGAAGGTCATCATGGTCGCCGTACTTGAAAACGAGACTATTTTACACTTTGTCACAAACGTCATGGATGCATCAACAGGGTTGAAATGGTGAAGACTCCATTCACGTCTTGTCAACAGTTGCAATTCATATCGAACGCGCTTGTTGTCTACCAAATAGTAGTGCTAGCTTCTTATCTGAAGCTTGTTTCAAATCGGATGAGTTGCAGGGTGATCCTTTACACAATGGTACATTAAAAAACATCAGAAATCACAAGCTTTTTCGGGTTATAAGGTAGTCTGCCCGATGGCTCAAACTAAGCCGCTTATAGCTTATTTTGGTTTCCGTATCCATAAGAGCGTGGAGAATCCCTTCAAAGTGGAACCTTGGGATTTGGCACTCGCTTGTTATCATAATAATGTGTTGCTTTATTGTCCAGTGACGCTCCACTTCATATGAAGTATCCGAAGCTCGCCCATTTGGGAGAACGAAATCAGCCAAATCTACGGCTGCACTGTCTTGTTACCTTATTGGAAATCGCCTGTAACCTCTGAAACTATCATTGCTTACAGACAACAAGAATGGAAGATTTTCTGAGCAGTACTAGAATCTGAAACACCCTCCACTTTATCGATCATTGTCATGAATAACCCGCTGCGTGTACACCTCTATGCAGATCCGAACCGACAATCTAGTGGCTTATCAAGATGTCACGAGTTTGTTGGCGGCTGGGAATACCTATGCTACTACAGAACCGTTTATTGATGCCAAGTGCGATGTGCACGTGCAGAAGATTGGACCACAGTACAAGGCATTCGTGTAAGTCCTACTTGTGTGGTTCCACATTTCATTATACAGAACATACCTAAGCGCCAACAGTACGTCGCATTTATTGTCTACAGAGTGCAGATGCATATCATCGGTGGTTGATCAGGTGGCCGTTGCAAGTTGATTGCCAAGCTCAGTGAACAGATCAGCGGTCATCTGATCAACGACCAATGAACGCACCCAAGCCACAAATACTCCGGTCTACTTCGGGATGTTTATCAACTGTAGGCAGTTAGGTTTGATGCAATGGTTTATTCTTGCTGTGTAGCGTTAGCCCTGATTACACTAGCCTCTCATACGGACTCATTTTTTGTCGAACAGATTGATGGTATAGGTTATCAGTTTGCAAAAATTCCAAGGTCCTCAGTGTTCCAGTGTTCACTCAGCTAGAACCAGACATGTTCGGTAGGCCAGCGTGGTGGTTGTCTGAAATAAGTGAACCTCAAACGAATCCAAATTTTTCATCCTCATTAGCATTCAGAAAATACACACGGTGATCAGCATTCCAAACTGAAAAACTTTCATTTAATGCATTCAGTGAGTGAATTTTACTCCCAGTCTTCTTTTTATTGAATTTCTATGTGACTTTCTGTGTGTTCATGGGCTTTGGAACAGGAGACAACTTGGTTAAGTTGATCATTTCACCATATATTGGGATTATTCTGCGTGTGAGATCGGAGAAAGCTAACAGTGTCTACCCAGAGGGAAATTTCTGCATCACCTTTATAAATATTTCTGTAACTGTTAGTAGTATTATGGTTAGTACTGTGATCATCACCACCGCCAACGCCACCACCATTACCAACATCATTGTCAGTAGTGAACGCTGGCTTCTCCCTGCCACGCGGTTGTGGAGAAAGTACGCCATACTAAAGGAAGGACGGTTAGTGGATAGAAAAAAACGGTTGGAAGGTACACAAACGGCAGTGAGACAAACACGACATCTCGTCAGAGTAAGACTCACTCGACGGAATCGACAACATATCCCTCGCCGACCTTAAACAATACAAGCTCAGAACAACACCAAGCGGGGTACTACCCCTTCAAAGTGGCAGCATACTCGCCATTGAAATCACTTGGTTATCATGTCACACTGGGCCCTCAAGCACGCTCAGGGAGAATTACATGGCCCTCAATCACGAAGGCCAAGAAGGATCACGCACTACACAGACTGCCTGTGGCGGTTTGCATTTCGTGTTTCCACGTCGTGATCTGCCCTCTTTGGGCTTTTTGCCATTGGGGGTTTGGAAATGGAAACATCTCTTGGAAGATGCATAATACATATGCAATCCATCGCATTTTGAAAGACCATCCCTGCTGCTGTAGCGAGTCTCATCCATTATTATTTTACCTCTTTTGCACAATTGTGCTGCATGTATGCTGCTGTCAACTAACTTCTGCCATCGACGAATACATCGGTGATTTTTGTATGAAAGCGTTAAGTTGTTCAAGTCGGACAGACAAAGCTTAGTGACCATAACAGCTGCTTTTTATTCGTTGCCCGTTAGCTTCAATGAAATTCGCTTCTGACACCGTAGCTGGTGAAGCTGGTTTTGCTTCGATAACGTACTCGCTGACATCCTATGTTACAGCTCTCTAGGTACGTAAACTGATCCACTCACGCCAGTTTTTCACCTTTGGACTTTAAAAGAACACAAGGAAGTTGAAAACCACATTGGGTACTGATGATGGGAAAAGCATGCCGGAGCCACTTCCGACAGCCCTTATAGAGCGAATTTTTCCAACCGAAAAACAAAACTGCATCGCCCGCATAGTCCAAAGCCACCAGAATTTCACAAGAGTCAATTCAACTCGATCTTTTGAGTGTGCATTCTATTATTATACCAATAAAAAGGTAAAGAGAACAAGAGAACAGCCACACCAGTTGTGGGAAGGCATCTGATGATTTTACTGTGAATTCTAACAAGAAAGGAAGTGCGAGTACAAAGCCAACAGAACATATATACCAACACAAAGTGAATTCATTCTTGCGAAATACACTCATTTGAAAAAAATTTGGTTCTGCGAAAGATTCACCTGAAACCCATCTGAATCTCTCGTTCGTGATGTTTCCATGTAACTGAGTAGGCTGCACCAGGCCGCCTAATGTTTCATGGTGCAGCACATTCAGTCGCCTGAAAACGTCACAAACGAGAGATTCAGCTGCGTTCCAGGTGAGTCTCTCACAGAACCAAATTTGTCTGCAAATGAGTGTATTCTGCTAATTCCGTGCAATTTGGTTTGAAGTAGAACATAAGGTTGACGGAAACTCGGGGACTGCGCCTATCTGATGAGCTCCAAGAAGTGCGAAACCGGTTGTGGGCTGTCGAAGAATTTTCAGCAACCCTATGAGTAGTGGGATTCATTCTTCACTTATATGACGAAGAGTTTGTGTAGCTACACATTCGCGTATTCTATATAAGTTGGGGGAAGACAAGGCTTGTAAGATATTGCTAAAGTATTTGACGGAATGTAAATGCGCCCCCAGCCTGGTCTTACTCGATGCTCTCAGATTTGCGTCTCAAATTCTGGAGTTCGGCTTCGCAGAATTATGGAAGTCAAGAGTTGTCAATAGATTTATGATCAATAATTTGCTCTAGCCCCCCTAGAACGTTCTCGTGTCCCCAAGTAACTTTGAATCACCATCAGCGATCAACTTTGGTGGAGCTCATTTTAGAGTTAAAATCTGCGTTACTTTTTATAAACCGAGAGAGAATCTAGAATGATAAAACATCATCCACTTTAATTGTGTACAGCCATGGGCACTGGTACACAGGCAGGTGGTCAACTGAACCTCTACTGGCTTTTAATTTGAGTAAGTCAGCAAGAGAAGACTTTGTTGGCCCCCGGTTTTCAGACCAGCTTAGGCAGCTTTCGTGCACTCTCCTCCTCATCCTCCAGTAATTCACATTTCCGGTTCTGCGGTTTCCCTGTGTCCCTACACAGTCTTCGTGTGAGCCGAGGTTTAGGCAACCGCCTAACCGAATTATGCCTCAAGCTCCACGTCTTGCATCAAATAGTTACAGTAACCGTTCTGAGACCAGTTTCTTCCTGTGATTGTATAAAACAGCAATGTGTACGATTGCAAGGATCTGATTCTAATTATTGCCATTGCCATGTGATCTAACTGATTCTAACACATCATTTAACGAGCATTGGTGAAGGAAGTTAAATTGGGGTGCATAAATCACTTTGACTGATTCATGGGAACTCGTCTCTTAGAGTAACCGGGTAGAGCTAATGAAGAGCTGATAAAAATTGGCATTTTGGTCAGTGAGAGATCTTTTGGGGATGGACAGAAGGATGGAAGAGAGGGAAGGAACTGCAGGCCAAAAACAACCTTTAGCAGCTGCTGAGCCTTACGTATAGGACCTCGCAGGTTATGCGCTGGGATAGAACCAGATGAATGGGTTTTAACGAGTGGACACGAGGGACAAACAATAATGCAGAATTTCAGTCAGTAACTCCATGAATAGCAGAGTAAAGTCTAAAGCTAAAATCTATTGAGGAATGTTTCAAACTGGTCCGCGAAAAGATTTAAGGGACAATGATCAATAAATGACAGCTCTTACACTCTTGCTTATCCTTATACAGCGGATAATGTAACCCGAGTGGTGTCATCACGTGATGTCAGAAGAGACGTGGATGTATGAGTGTTTGCGTATTTAAGGGTTGTATACAGTTATTTGGCTTATAAACTTGACAGCGAAGCAGAAAGTGTTGTTGTAATGGTGAGAATCAAACAGCCGTCCAATTTTCAAGGAACAGCTAATCACGTTTCCACCTCCAGCCTGTTGAACAAGGTGTCCGCATCTGTGAAATACGCATCCTAGTAACAGGGTATCCCCTGTGGCTGTGTACGTATCATCCAGTAAAGCTCACTAGCTTGTTGTTGTACATGTAACCTCCAATCACGGTGAGATTGATTCCGTTAACGACAAGGAACCTAGCACAGTTACCGGGAACATCAAAAGCCTTACATCCACCGGCCAGGCTGATTGTAGCAAGGGTGAAACGTTCTGAGACTATGGGAAACTAAAAACAAAACGTTTCCCGAGAGCAAGTTAGCTTGATGGCACACATATAGTTTTGCTAGTTTTTGTGAAATAACTTCCCGGTTTATGTCATACAGAGGCTTTCAAGCGCAATGTCCAATGCAATATCACTGAGTGCATTGTTCCGTTTAAATAGCTGGAATCCTGTACAAACCAGTTGATTGTTTTATTTATTTTTGGGATGCGGTCTTGAGGGACCAAACAGAATTGTCCATTCTTCTGAGCTCTTGATGGAGCCTGATTATATTCGATACGGGTTGAACAACGCCTATGCAACGCTTCTTTACATACTCGCAAGAGTGGTTTTTGTTTAGCAGGGTCAAAACCTATAGTAAAGCAATTTTGTCGCATGCCATTTCATAGAACTCTATGTTTTCCTCCACAAAAGCCTATTTACTTGATCTCGATGCTGAAGAATGCTCATCCGGAGGCTGATCAGAAAAAAAATCGCTTTCCATCCATGCATATTTTGTGATGTTTGTTGGCTAACAGGATGACTAAATGTCGCATCGAAGGAGAGCATAATAGCGAAAATCAGGTGAACACTAACTTATTTTTAGTTTTGGGATTGCGTTCTCATCAAATAAGCTATTTGACTAGAACGCTGTTTAGTATGCCTGGAAATCAAACTGACAGGTAGTCTGTCAGGATAATTTATTCAGATGTCTGTAACCACTCGCATCATGATTATGTGTGCTCTACAGACGTGGCACACATTCAGACAAAGACAGGATGGAGGTTGATCAGGTCTGACGAATATCGAAAGAACGCAAAGAGAAAGTAAAAAAGAACGTTGGAAAACATCTTTGGGTTCAAAAGCAGGCCTAGAACGTTAAAATGGAGAATAGTTGTGGAACGAAGCTTGGAGCAACTGAAGGAAATCAGCTGACTGTTTGTGATGAGCGATAAGTACTAAGACCGCTGACTCGTCGTGATATCAGGAAACATGTTGCGAGTTTAACCGGTCCTTGGAAATACAGTGAAACAAATCACTTTATTCGGTGATGCTTCCGTCTCACGTTTCACTCTCCTTAAGGAAAGTGGGAGCTTTCGACTCTTGATGCTAAAAATAACCATAGTGTACCATGATGGTCTTACTATTTTAATAAATATGTGGTGCTTTGCGGATAATTTTCGTCGCACACAGTCAACGATGGAAATGAATACCTATTCGATCGTGTTATGACTTCCAGTAGAGAGTGTGGCCTATTATTTGTTCCAGAAATGTCAGGGGTTCGCAGGTCATTGTCTAGTAACACCGTTTACTAATGAGTGGTTTACTCATTGAAGCTGACTCCAATTAGTGTATTAGTGTGGCCAAGCCCCGGGATCTGAGTTTGGATGCACTCAGAATCAGTTCCAAACAGGCTATACAAGGGAGAATAGAAAAGCAATGCTGAAAGTGATCCATAAGTTTAAATACACCGTGACCAAAAGTGCACCGGTATGAGAACTTACCATGGACCATAACAGATTTCGGATTTCGACTCAACTTTATTCTGTAAGGTAAAATTGCTAGGGCTGGGGACTCGATGGTCTCCCTGGTGTCCAATGATATATTGGCGTCCTTCTGCAACACATGAAGCGCATGGGTCGCTTGATGAGCCTCAAACTAGTTGAAAACTCTAGTCCACAGCTGTTTACTCTCTACAGCTTTTAAGCAACCGTTTCATACCATTTATTTCTGAGAGAAAGTCTGTTGATTATGTTCGCAACGAATTATCGGGTCATCCTGTGTGACTAGGTGAGACATAACCGAATTTCCAGCTATAGCAGTTTCAATGCACATATGAGCTCAAAAGTAAACTATCAGAGAAATTACCATTCAAGTTTTAAACTGATTGCTCAGTTTCCAGTGCCAATGCCTATTTGACAAGTCCCAAACACAGGAACAGGTAGTGGGCTATCTGCCGATTTCGGGCGGCTGCTCTATACTACTTATCTCAATAACAAAAGAAATGCCGATTAAAATACTTAGTGAATAGAACATAGTAATTAAATTCCAAAGGTGCTCACGTGCGTGCAACTTCCACACACACATACACACACTGTTGGGACGTGAGGATTTGTGATTTATGATTCTTGGCCAGTGTAAACATTATGAACCCCCTGATCAGTATCAGATTGGGGTACAACGTTTGCGAAAGGGCTCACTTAGGGGTCAGCTTGATGACTGTTTTCTGAACCATGTTGGATAATCACTGAATATGTGGTGCTGAATGAACTGTGACTATTGGCAGCTAGTTGCAGCATTAGCCGAAACGCCTATTTAGGTGTTTTTACGACACTTTGGATGATAGACACCGGTCTGCCTGCCAGAGCACTTACACATAAAAGGGCAGACCACGTCTGATGGAAGAAAGGAGGAACGAACCAATCTTTAGTTTAGGAAACGCAGATCATCCAGAGGTGTCCCTGAGGCACGGCTGTGAATGAGGATAACGGCGCCTAGTTCCCTTGTGTACATACTCCCCACTGAACCTTAGGAACAGGAACCTATCTGAAATACTTATTTCGTATGCAGAGCAGTAAACTCAATTTGAAGCACTGTGAATCGTAACTGAGTTGTTTTGTTTGCCACTGACTAGGAAGGTCTTCGTACTTTTGAAATTGAGCTCTGACTGCTAACTGTTCGGTGCAGCGCATCCTCACTGCTTTTCATAATGGACTCTTCGTCAGATTAGGATTAAGTTCGAACGGTGTGAGCCAAGTCATACATAACTATTGGTCACTCCAGGTGGTCTTTCGAAGAGCTGAACTTCGTCAATTCCCATCTGCAATTGTGCGTAAGTGGGGGGGGGGCTCGATAAAGGCAGACCATTATTTGACTTGCTTACGAGAAGATGAGTAGAAAGAGAATTAAAAAGATGTTAAGGAGCAGATGCTCATGACTGCAAACGATGAAAATGCAGTGTAACCAGGAGCTTGTTTTTTCACCTGCCTTGGTGAACTGAATAAACGGGACCGAAATCCGTTAAAGTCTCCATAAATTTATCTCTTATTTGAACGACCGACTTAATGCTTGTCTTTCTCAGGCGCGTGTACTCACTCGTTTTAGGAGAAAATCCATTTCTGGACACTGGAAATCCAATATCGGCTCTTCCATTTTGGAAAAGGTTCCAATGAACGAAAGGTATGGTTCTCGATGCTGTGTATTTGTCTTATATACGAATTTGTTTGGCACCATTTCATCTCGTGTAGAGCATTAAAAATCGCCCATACTGTGAGTTTCTCGTCACATTTCAGAGACGGTGCTTTATACTCGATCGACGATGGTATCTGTAATGTGTTTGCCGGTGTCACCTAACCAGTCATGAGTTTTTAACTTACATCCAAACCCGCCACGATCTGTTATCTAATATAAATATGCATTTTTGTGAGCAATATCTCACAATATACTTCGTTGTATTCTGTGTAACACCAGCATATATAACGGGACGATACTTAAAATTATTGCGTTTGACCAATACCATCAAACCCACTGTGCATTCCACCTGACCACGCCAAAGGTATGCGTACACCCGATTTTCTGCGGTAAGAGGACGGCTTCTATCCGGCACATATGTTGGAAAAGCTGAATTTTTTTATAGGCTGAAGATTACAGGGTAATACTGAGTTAAGTCCATAACTAAGGGCTGTTGTATGTATCCGGTCGCCGAACTAATCCCATTTTCTTCTCCGTTAACCTCCACAAGGAAATGCGCAACGTGCTCAGTCTCACCTGTTGTATACCAGCTCAGATTCAGTTGCCATCAAATCTACATTTCGCTCACTTCATTCATTTTCTTAATTGAGTAAATCAGACAGTGAACTGCGCACTAAACTGCGAAATCGCTTCATCGACTGCCAGACCTATTCGAGTATATGGTCACAAAGATAGCCTTAAGACAGCCTACTCCGTGATGTCATACTGGGGTAGCCACCCTCTAGTGATTATTTACTACAATGCCATGTTTTTTATACGAAATAGCTTGAATAAAGGTCGTATTTGAGGCCCCGATCGCGATCCGATAGGCTCCACCTTGCTCTGTCATCCCCGGTTATGATGTGAGCTCATTGCGTCCAAAGATGCACCGGAGGTGGCAGAATCAGACCGCTGACAAACCTGGCCATAATATTTACATGAGACCCGGCATTTTAACTTTAGATTGTAGTTGAAACAGGTCAACAAAGCGTAAGAATGCCTCCACACGTAAACACGTTTTGCATTAACCGCAAAATCCACAGGCGGTGCGGCCTAAAAGTAGCACATCTCCATACTTCTAGTTCATGTTGAACATTTCAGACTACAACAAAGCAATACTATTATTATCATCATTATCAGTATTGTCATTATTTAATTATTACGATTCTTGTTACCTCCCCTCCATTTTATTACAGATTTAAACAGTGGGTAGACGAAGTGGCTCGCATGTTTGGTGGACTGGATATATGTTCCATAGAAGCACTACAAAGCAAAACAGGAGAATACTTCATCTACGATGTAAGTGGCACTGAAAGCTCTGCAGAAATCCATAGGAAAATTAACATAAGAAGGCGAATTAGATTAAAAAGCATTTAAACCAGGCAGGAGGCTTATTTTCATCCTACGGACAACTACGCAGGAGTTTGTCTTGAAAATACTTTCAAGTAGTTCGGGTTCGCCAAAGGAATAATGTATCCAGTTGTCATGGGGAAGAAATAAGAAGCCCGTATTGAGACGATGAACAATATCTGACCAAAGTTTGTTACATTGTGCCCGCTTCATCCAGTTTATCAGAGAGAGTCAAAGTTATCTCATCGCCTTGTGCCTCAGGTGAGTTGGTCGACTGGAATACATCACAGAATCCGAAACTGACCCAGATTTTTGACATTCACTGGTCTCTATCGGTCTTTCCGTCGGTGATTTCCTCCCCTTGTTGCTATTGTCCTGTTTTCAGCAGGCGTGGGGGGACAGAAATCGATCCACTCTGTCGGGTATTGATTTTCAGGATGCAGTGAATGCTTTCATGTCCCCGGACAGTTCAATAGTATTTTTTATGAGTCGGGCTTAACGCATTTTAGAGTTACGTTATGGTGTGTGCAGAATGGTTTGAATGAAGAAAGTTGTATGGAGTAAATTGATGAATTTATGATTTGAAGTGGGAAAGAAGTCACTGACTACTTATGAGTAGCCATGCACATTGATGGTTAACCTATCTCTAGTTAGTGAATTCTAATCCTATCCCCACCTCATTATTCATAGGGAAAATCCGTGGCTCTGGAGATGTCCTCCAGCTCTGTTGTTTGCTTCGTTTTTATATCGGGCCCTCTGAAGCACTTCCAAGCATTTGACTGCTTTATCTAGACACAATCTGAGTACGTATGAAGTTTGAGGACCCTATTTTTCCCCTCGAGCTAGACGTTTAACACTTTGACACCATTATTGAAACATCCGAAAACATTTTCCATAATTTTTCGGTCAGTCAGTAACTCATTGACAGCAAAAACTTTGGGGCAGTGTTTTGTTTGTAATGTGCTACATGAAATCCTGTTTGAAGTTAAGCTGAATGCTATTCAGTGTGACAAATAACGAATCATACCCATATTCGCGGTAAATAATACTAACAAAGCTGACCAGTGCAGAATTTAATTTTGTGTAGGTTGTTTCAGAGATTCCAGATCTACTCAGGGGAATTTACGACTGTTAATTATGAACAAAAACTAAAAAAAGTGTCTGAATTGATGGCTGCTTTAGAAAACCATTGCTTGTAGTTTTGACTCTTCTAACAGATTGGGTTTATGACCATACCTGAAATTGGTGGCTGTTCTCCGTCTAGCTACTGAGTCCGTATGTTGGTTCTTAATGCTGCCTGGTAGTTTCCGTGTGGAAACATTCCATGTTTTGTGCATTTTCTTTTATAACTTCACAAGGTGAATGGATCTGATATGAATCTGTTCGGTGAAAGCCAGGAAGAAGACCGGCGAGAAATTGCCGAGATTGTCGTCCAGCGCATGCAAACTGTTTGCATGCAGAATTCATTGTGAGTTCACTGACCCTCAAGCTCATTGTTTGTTGGTTGCTTACGGTTTTTTAAAACGTTTGGGCTTGCCTCCCCTGTCTATTTAGCTATTACATCAATTTTCTGACGCTCGGTTCACAAAATATCGGTTTCTCTTAACTAGTGAGCGGGGAAATGGGGTCTTCGGTCGAATAAGCGGCAAAAGGTTCGGTCGGTCGGTTGTATATGGTAACTGGTCACCTACTGACATGCATTCTTCTGTTTTATTTTCTGTTGTGACATAGAAAGGATCCTTCAGATAAAAGGCTGCGATAGCGTAAACCAGTATGTGTACCGGACCTTTTAGAAGCAAGTCCCCCAAAACACCTGATTCCCTGTGTTGTTCTTGTGGTATGCTTGGAACTCGGCTCCCATGGTGAATTTCTCAAACTACTTCAAGGAGAGTGAATGTCTATCTGAGTGTAGTGTGATGGCATACAACGATCTCACGGAGTACTGGTGCTTGGTAGAGTGAGCATCATTTTCGTTTGAACAGTCCTTTTGTCTAACCTCAACTAGTTCGGCGTGTCCACATCAGACAGAAAGGAATGAACTCCATTTCTATTCCTGTTAGAAGTCGTTAGCCTTGTATTTACTAGGTCTGATCGGGATTTAAGCTTCATAGATCCAAGTTGTGAGATGATCGTGTTACCAGCCCACGCCGGGCGCACTCGAACTAACACTTCTGAACAGATACGTGTTCACGATTGAGGGCTGTGTGTGAGCTCTCCAGAACAGTTGTGTTTGGGCAACGATTGATATGAACACAACTTCTAGAAATCCCGCAGCCACCTACATCTAGTCGTAAGGTGAGCACGATACTTTTGCAAAAAATGCAATAGATGCCATTCTGGTCATATGACTGCATTGCAATCACATAAAGCATTTGAACGGGATACGGTTACATATCGATCAACTCCAGTGGCTAGACATACGTTCTGCATATATGGTCGTCGTTCAGCTGTGAAACCCTTTCGATGCCTTGCTGACACAATACTCAAAGGGAAGCAAGAGGCCTAAGATACTGTCAGGTTGTTTAAGCCCAGACAGGATCAATCGAGATGCTGAGGTTGGGTTCGAACCACGGACCATTCTGATAGAAAGTTCGCGCCTAGGCCACTAAGCTATCTTGACCCTGAATTTTAACCCACCCCCGAAAAACTGTCGTCTATGGTATGTTATCACTGACTCAAGCAGTCAGTTGTAAAAAAAATTTGGCCAATTTCTGTTAAGTGTTTTCAGTTACACAATGCTATCATCCGTTTGCAGGTGTGTGTGCGCGAAACTTGATTACATTCGCCGGAGCCAAACCATGCTCAGATGCATGTATGGCGTACTGAAAGTGCTACTGTTTGTAACAAGACGTAACATACTACCCATAAGGTTACTGAAAGTTCTCCGATATCCCACAACTACTGTATTGTTAATTTATCATCCTGTCACAGTGCTTTCACAATGATCAATTATGGAGTGAACAGCAACAGAAGGCGAACCTCCTTTAAAAGATGTGAATTTGTCGGTCTCAGACATGCAATAATTCGTACAATTTCGTTTTATTTTTGCTGCAGGCTGATTTCTGATTTAATTAACTTTACTACAAATTGCTTGCGTTTGTTATCTTGTTCGGATGCTGTTTGTCTGGGCAGGTATTCCACGTTAGGTCTGGTGCAAACAATAGAAAATTGGTTGTGAGTAAAAACTCGTACGAAGAATTGGGTCTTGTCACAATGCAAAGTTTTCAATGTTCGGCCAACAATGGCTTTAGTTCAAGCGTTTTGTGCATGTTGACTGGGAAATGATACATTCAAAACAGCCAAACGACCACGTTAAACCTTTTTCATATTTTCAGCGCTGGAAGACTAGTGAGGTTTGGTTAAAAATGTTGTGCGCCCATTCAAACAATTCAAACACTGGGGACCAATAATTGTTCTTGAAATGAGAGGTCCGCCTATGCTCAACATGCACGGAAAAACATGAATGTGCGTGAATGTGAGGTTGAGCAACCGTTCTCGGTAGCTCAAGCAATAGAGTACACTTTAGTTAAGAGAGCTCTAGTGGTTTGAGTCCACCCTCATGTCAGGCGTGGTTGGATTTCTCGCTCAAAAATCAGTCACGTCATAACTATAGTAAGAGTTGTTAATCCTGCTGTGTATTAATTTCACTGGCATTTGGCAACCACCAGACCATGGTTCTGAAGTCTGATTGAGCGTTGTGGAAATCCTTCTGATGGGAGTTCACCATATAGACGTAGTAATATATCAGAGCGGACCATTAGTTAGACCTTTCAATTCGTTGTTTAGGGGACTATTCGCCCGAAAACCAGCTTGAATTATCAGGGGATTTTGACTAGGGTAGAAAATTGGATCCCAATTCCTGACGGCTTTAACCGGTAGGCGGGCCTGTGGTTTCGTGGTGAACAGCTCAAAACTGCCACCAGACAATTGCGTGTCCGACCTCACCACGTGCTAATCGCTTGTGTCGCAAAGCTCCAGGGTATCCTAGCGCATCTTTGTATCAGTGTCTCAGACAAGCATGCAAGGATCAGCGTGAGCGTTTCGTGAGCAACCATCCACTTGGTCGATTCTCGGATATATTTGCGGAAAAAATTCTTTCGGCTGGAGATAACATCGCTCCAGGGGATATTTTGTCTCGTAAACTAAGCCAGTCAACGCTGAAGGGCAGAGAGGTGATGTGCCGTTTCATTCTTCTGGTAGCCAACAACGGTGTGCTTCTCAAGATTTATCAGAAGGTTTCAAGCTTGCAGCATGATGTCTAGTAGGTGAGAGCTAAGCGGTTCCGTCATTAGTGGCTAATCAGCAGTGTGACTAACTCACATGTTACCGGATACAGCGCCACTCATCCATCAATCACGAAATCCACCTCCAGTAGTCACCTGTTCACTGGCATATCAAGTGGCGACTTTTCGGATGAAAGCTTCACTCGTAATGTGAAATATTCTCCCTTCTTAGCGGTTTGGTAGCGCGGTAAGATCTAGAAAATTTCCATTGATAATTCATCCTGTGAACGATGTCAGTTTGTGCTGAAAAGCAGAAAGGTTTTGAGTTGGAACCAACAGGGAAATTCGTAAGTTCCCGATAAGGATGAGACAACCGTACAGCGGTGCTTTTCCATTTTCGGCATAGATTGTTGGTTGTATGAGATTTGCGGATTTTCATTTGGGATTTCCGGCGTACAGTGACTATTTTTGGGGTTAAGTATCGATCAAAATTTCAAAATCTCTTCATACCACCAAAAGCATTGCCTGCCCATTTGTTTGATACCTACGACCGGGTTTAGTTTCCAAATCCTCACAAGAAAAATCTCAAAATCTTCCCCTTGTTGATAGAAATCTGTCGCGTTGCACAACGTATGTGTTCGCGTCTCTTGTTTTCATTAGAGGGACGGAACAACTTGAAGACTAACTTGACGGATACTTTACCCAGACGGTTGAAGAAATTTGTAGGAGCGGAAAGAAAAAAGATTCCTGGAGAGCTCAACGGTGACAGCTACGGAAATTTAACAAGTTGTTGAAACTCTAAGGGTTTAACGAAAGATATCCAAATTGCGACACATAAATTGGTAGCTGATTATGAAACTTTGGGTTAGACCAATAAGCCACGTGGTAGTAGGTCTCTTTGGACGTGAAATACGCTCGAATATGGAAAGGAAGCTACCTACAGTTGAACAAGTTATTCCAAATTGCAACTAACGCTTGAAAAGCTGTCAGCTGGGTAAGCGTGACGGAACGCCTCTAGTGATTCCAACTTGACACCAAGCAAAGTGGAATTTTTAGGGTACAAAGCACAATCGACTTCATCTTTGGGATGATCAGTGTATTTATCTGGCAGGCAAAATAAAAGACGCCTTTTTATTGTTGCCTGGATTAAAAATCCGATGGCTTCGGCGAACGTACCGAGTGAATTTCAGATAGGTGTCCTCAGTCACCCCTAAGATCAAAAGCATGTGGCGAATTGCGCGCACTACTTTGATGCGAGATATTCAACAGATACTGCATGCAACACTGAGCCTCCTGATCTTCAACATGGTCAACTACCACTCAAACGCGATTCATGAATACAGCATCTTAAAATTACAGGAAAAACGCTCGGAAAAAACAAGTATTTTGTGGAGCTCTGAGCGTGCCTTTCTGCCTGGAACAACTTTCTAGCGATGTATAGCTTCAGAGAGTTCTCATGTTACGTGGGAGTGTAGAGCCACTGAGGGAGGCAACAATGTATTTAGAATACAGAAGAAGCTAGTCCGCTTGGATTAATAGCTTCCATGTTGAGGAAATATTCAGCCAATCCCAGGGGGCCTTTTGGTTATAATGTCTTCAGTCAAACATCAGAGCACTGGGTCGTTGAAAATTATGAACGAAACAGGTCAAAAGTGTTCTGTCGGTCAACAGAGCGCAAATTGCACTGACTAAGCTAACTCTTTGCAGAAGTTTTGGCGGCTGCTTCCAATTAAGCTTCTCTGTAAATCAGTGCACTATCTTCGTGGATAATCCGGTTGGTTTTCTGTCGTTGGTCATATTTTAAACCCTCCTTGCGCAATAACCTCGTGAATTTCCTGCCGAAGAGCAGGTGGTTTTCTAAAAGGTTTCTAAAAAGATCCGGTAAAGGCGGATCGCTTAAAACCGTTCAGGAGACTGGCTCTTCTTTACAGGCTTTTCTCCAAAACTTTAATGAAGCAACGGTTTTAGCCAGCTTCCTGGGTACTGAAATCACGAATTTATTGTATATTTATAGCAATAAAACGCTTTGTGAATCGAAATGAATCTTCATGGCTAACCAAGGGTGCATCACATTCGGAAAACGAGCAGGATTCAGAAGTTCAAACAAGTTTCTCAGAATCCTCCTTGGTTCTTCAGATCTTTCAGCAGTTGCAATGAAATGATTGGCTAGGGTCAGGTAGAACGTTCCAGTATTCATGGATTCATCCAAGCATGACAAAATGTAGGATAAATAAAAAAAGCTGCACTGCTGATTTGATTATTCGGTCACGTAAGAAACCCAGCTGACACCTAATTAAAAGAGCATATCCGACCTATATCCATTTGGGCGCGTTACAGCCCCATCGAATGTGATTTGATTTATTGAGAGGTCAGTCAGTTTTACCCCCCTTCATTTCATAAACTATTTCCGCACTTTCATCATTTTAGCTTTGTTTTTTAGTGAGCGCCCCATTTGCTGGAAAATGAATTTTCCCTGATTGATTGACATTGGTGCAGACTAATTTGCGGACGGAAACAAGGTAGAGGCACGGAGTGTTTCGCCTGTATTTGCCGTCCTTGGGAACAGCGTTCACACTGCCCGTCAAAAACGTGTTCCGTTTCGATTGCCTTCATTAGATATGAAAAAACCACTTCATTGTGATGTATCCTATATGATATTAGTGCATGTAGTATTGATTTAGCGAATATTTGGAGGGGCGTTTCAGAGAGATAATTTTATCTCCCACCGAGATGAGCGATAATCGTGTGTCTAAATATCACTTGCTTCTTAGATCATTCACAAGTATTGAAGTTAAAATCTAGGGTCTAGTTTCTTCGCTATCTTGAGAAGGAACAATCTGATACCATATTGCGGAACATGCGGTAAAAAGGTAGGCTTTCATTTGGCGCTTTCAGTTCGGGTATATTTTATTGTTCACACTGCTGACTAACCAAGAGGCACCACACAGATCTTTCATATCTGTTGTGAACATTGGTAGTACCCATCTGATAAATCATTAGGGGAATTCGAATTCGCCACTTCTGACCAATAGGCAGAGGCTGAACCGTTTGGCAGCAGTGGCTGAGCAGCAAAGCGATTAACTTGCACGTAGACAGGATGTTGCGCCATTCATGCTTCAATCACAGGATTCACTTCACATGGTCACGTGTTGACTAATTTTTCGAGTGACCCATAGTCGAATGTAAGACTCATACTTCGTCTGAACTATCCTCTTTTTGCGCTACCTGTGTTTTGTTGATGCATGTAGAAAGTTCGATCGGCATTCATCCTCTAATTGAAGCAAGTCTATGCCGAAATCTGCGAAGTATTGTTCAGTAATTTCCTCCTTACTTAGGCCCATCGACAGTGCTTCTTGGGATTGGAGCTACTTTTTGAAGTAGCCTGTGGTTGACTTTTGTCTGATCCGGACGGATTACAGGGTAATTTGACCTACTTATTTGCGGTAACTGGTCGTTTTTCGCTTCGTTTTTCCTCAGGACAAAGGCATCCAGTCTTCAATCAGTGTCACGTGCAGCAGAACCGGAGCGTTCACAACCTGTTCAGCCGACAGTATCAGCGCCAATGTCACAAATGTCGTCCACTCCGATTGTGCCTGCGCAGTGCCCACCCATGCGCCAACCTTCTCAACCTTCACAGTACCAGTTCCAAACACATCCTAGCACAGTGCCTGCAAGTGCGACGGGACCGTCTCAGCAAACAGGGCCTTCGATGATGGGACAGCCACAGTCGCAGCCATCATCGATGCAACCAGCTTTCCATTCTGGCTCATCTGTCACTACGACACCCCATCAGTTGAGCTCCTCTACACCATTCAACCCGCCTGCCTCATGGGGTGATCAAAGCTCGATCAGCAGTGTCAGTTCATCTGGTGGATCGGTAGCCTCTATGTTCACCGGTATCAGTAATAAATCGGACGGTATTTTTCCAAGTGGCCAAAGCACTCCCACAGTGGTTACGGGACATCATGACTCGAGGCCACATGATTCTGCGTTTTCGTCCAGACAATCTACACTTCAGTCGGGTACAAGTATTTCAGGAAGCAGTGGATTCAGTGTGTCAGCAACGACTGCGTGGAATGCAACCAGCAGCTCAGGATTTGAAGATGCGTTTGGAATGATGAAAAATGCGGAGCCCGAAAGGCCTCAGCAAAAAAATTTGTTTGGTTCAAATGATCCCTTCGATCGGTTAGCGTCCGAGAGGTGAGTTAGCTGACTTATTCTGTTCTTCACCAGAAAAACGATCTCATCAATGTCAAACACTCCTTCTAATATCCTCGAAAACTCGCCTAAATCCAAAACGCGGGTTTTGAAATATGGGCAAATATAAGATTTAGATAACAATGTTCATTCAGATCTAGACCCTGCTTTGACCATCAGGTAAAATGGTAAAAAGTAGGTTATGGATTTTTGGACGGTAACCTGTCAACCTTTCAGTTTTCAGTTAAGTATACAAGATAGCTCACAAGTGGTATCTTTGTTTTTCGAGAAAAATTCCTATGAAGATAGTCATGTGATAGGCAACCAACAGTAATTCCCCGGAAGCCTAGATGATAGTGGTCCGTTTCTTTAAAATGAGTACGTTTGTTCTACTACTTGCTGAGTTGACTTGGCCGGAAATTTTTGTACTTTCCAGGGCCGCAACAAGTGCATTCGATAGTCTGAACGATAATCGTGGCCCTCCAATCAGCTCAACACAGAATCAAGATTCGGCTGTTGCGGACAAGCCTTTCGTACCACCTAGACAGACCTCCTTGCGACGTGGAAGTGGTGCTGAGGACACTGATGATACCATGAAAAATTTGCGCAAAACGTTTGCTGGGATTTTTGGAGACATGTGACCGATAAAAAAAACAAAGTTTCTCGTCCTCCTTAATTCTACTTATCTTGTTGTCCCCTTCGGACGGATTATTACAGTCGTTTCCATTTTCACCTTCCCTATATACGTAGACATCTTGTTTCTAGTAACAATCACCCTTTCTCTCCGCTGTCGGATTCAGTTGTTGGATTCGGATTGTTTTGTCAGATTCTACGTTATTCCCAAAAGCGGATAAATTCCTCCAACTCAATTCAAAGCTGACCCTATTTATCATGTTATCACTGATTTGGAAACGTTCAGGGTTTCCAGGTATCCCTATTTATATCATATACCATTCTCCTGCCTTTACGTTGCTTCACTCTAGGCATTCAGAGACAATGGCACCTCATCGAGTTATCTACGGAAAGCTTTAAAACTGTATGCTTATCGACATGCCCTTCAAAGAAGCATATTTCATTCTGATTTTCCTGTGAAGTAATCAATTTTGTTTGTGGGACATTTCCAAGAAACATGAAGGATATGCGCGGAAAGTCTGGAACCTTAAAGTGGCTTACAACTCAAACAGAAGACCACTGCTTAAGAGCGAAGATGCATAGCCGCTGACAGAGACAGGGACTCTCTTTTTTAAATCCTTCTTGTACTTGATGGAACGTTCATGAAGGACTACCCACCTGCCCAAGAGCTCATCAAGGCAGTCAAAGGCAGTCGTCTTCAGTACACAGTAGTTTTCAGGACTGTGGTCGGGTATTATAAGAATCTATTCTTTTTCTGCTGATATTCGTAGGTACTGGAAGCGTTGGTAGCATTCGTTGACCCTTTATTCAGAACTGGGATTAAACCTACACAGTGTAGTGAAAGCAAGTACAAGCCACCGTTAATACCAACCCAGTTTACAAACGAGTGTTCATTGCAATAAATCTGGTGTTTGAATATGCGATAAGTTTGAGTATTGTTCACAGACTAGGTCTGGTTGATGGGGAGCGCAATACCGATAGTTGGTTGTTTTCAACTTTATCGCTAGTATTGGAAATTACGTAGCGTCTGGGTGGGGGTGCATTCATCTCTGGTTGCCTGTGGCAATGCGCTAGAAAAATGCATCAGCTGAAACGTGTCATAAGTTGAACAGAGTAAGTGAAGAAGTTCGTGATCTATCCATTCTGCCATGAGTCTTGAGCACAGGTGACTGTAAACTGGATACCGACTTGCACAAATCCCATTTAGGAATAAAAGCGGATAACTATCCCCAATAACTGTGGCATTTTAAGGAATTGGAATTAAGTGTGGTTTTGAACTTGTTCGCAGGCCACAAGGAGAGCTTAGAAATGTCGCAACCCACAGCGATTCAGAAAAGCAACCTTTGCTGCTTCAGAAGTCTTAACGTATTGGTTGACTCTCCTCTAAAACAAACAGACACCCTTTTGTCTAAACGAAGTGCCATGTACTCAAGACATAAGCTAGAGAACAAACTATGCAAAACACGCGTAATGCTATATTTCCGAGTACAGTATCATCATTCCATCATTACAACAAACGCAGAACGTCGCTTTTCCTACTTCAGCTCATACTGACTCTTGCGCTTGTGAAACCTCTTGCATCACAAAATGTGCAAACCCTGGTTAACTTTTATGAGGATGTGAAGCTTTCTATTTTATTTTTAGGGTATCCCATACACGGACCAAACGCTTAGTTTCTCCTGTTCTATCTATTTCACGAAAAAGGTTAAACTGACTTGACTGACTGGGATGGGATTATTAGAGAGTCAGCTAGTGGTCAACAGAAAATGTGCGTTTCAGTTCGCAAGAGGGAAAATCTCTCTACTTTCAACTTCCGTCCAAACTCCCAGATGGTTTTTCACCAGGTTACTAGGAACGGCAAGAATAAAAACGGCTTTATTGAAGAAGGAAATTAAGTTCATCGATGGATAAAAGCGTATCCTTCCACGTCGTTTCCCATGCTTCATTGTCCTCAGAGAAGAATCAGACGTGTGACTGGTTAATTCATTCAGTTAACGCGGTCTAATGTACCTAGCTGCCAGTTCACATCCCGGATGTCACCATCACTGATGAGAAGACATCTCACTGACACAAGTGACCCTAAAGGGTAGTTCAAACCTCACCTATGCAATAAACTGAATAGTAGCGCTCAGTGAGACTAGTCTGGTTTTTACTAAACATTTATCCAACTGGAGTATTATGCCGCAAGTATCGCCAGTGTATTGCATTTTCACTTACACCGACCACCAGAAATCAGTCGTCATCAGGCATCACTGAAAAGTGTTTTGCAACACCAGGTTTTATTGTGAGTCCTGATGGTTGCAAGATCATTTGTGTGGGTACTGGTTATTCACTGAAAACACCAGTCTACCTGACCTAACATTACCCCTTCTGCCTTGACTTCGTGTGTTTTTATAATGGTCCTTGGAACCTCACGCACTAAGGAATGTTTTGTTTGATTATTCAGTAGAACGTTTTATGCCTAAACATCAAAACCCCTCTTTCAACTGTAAACTATAATCATGGGATGAGGCACTAAGAACGTTGCAAAAGGTTGCAGTTGATTGCAACTCATTTAAAAATCACATCCAATTTGTAGATGCAACTCACATCAAGCCGACCCCGAAAATCTGCAGAGTCAGCCAGCGGGGTAAAATCTAACCTGTAGGTAAACAGAGTTTTCTAACACTTCAACGGAGACTTTCTGCCGTATGTACATTTACCCTATGCCAAAAATCTGCGAAGCAATGTAAAGCGCTTTCCTCATTATTGGGAATCACCAGTAGTGCGCAACCGAAGCATCCTTAAGAAGGTTTCAACCCACAACCTCCCGGCAGTTGTTGGTGACGAAACCGTTCATCTAAGATGTTGGAAATCAAAGGTTTGAATCTCTAGAGGTTTAGGCGATATATGTCCGCTATGATGGTTACCAATCAGCGTGAAACGGCTGCACAGTGTTACTTTGTCTCTGAAGTGAACTGATTCGCTTGCGTGACGAATTTTTCATTGAAATTCCTCATCATCTCCAACATTTGAAAACACACTTTAGCGGATTTATGGCCTGTACTGTTACGACCGGAAGTAATTAAAGAAAACTATCAGGCAATCAAGTGTTCCGTAGTATGCCGCTCCTCGGTTGGCATCAGCTGGGCCAGAAGCTCAGCTCCCAACCCACTCTGTCAAAAATTGAAAACTTAGTGCAGCAAACAAGTTCCCGGAAAATTCCATCATGCTACAAGACTGTGAAATACTGTAAGCGAGACGGGGAGTTTCAGGCATATCATGAATTTGTTTCTACTAAATATCCACGAATTACTCGGGACGTAAAATGCGGAAATTTCCTGTATGGCAATTTATTACATTTTATCGTGTGTCTGTGTCAAACTCTGTCGAGGAGTAAGGGACAATTTCGACCTCAGTAATGCCGTAAGAGACATGTTTTTCACATTTAAACTTCTGGCTTTCAGTCATCTGACATCTTAGTTTTGTGCTAATATAAATGGTCATTAAATGACCTTTTGTTTGGTCGTTTCGGGCTTTCCTCAACATGTGATATGGTCAACTAGATTCAGCAGGTAATAAAAACGATCATTCAGTAGTTGACTTTCCATTAATTATTCAGCCGAGACCTCACTTTCGCCAGTAGTCATTTAACTGCTTTATTAAGTCAACGGTCCGTTAAACAGATAACCACATTCGTTAATCTAAATCAGATTTTGCTGGGGAACAAGTCCCCCGAATAGTAAAAATATGAAAATATTGACCAGACGGCCACAAGTTCAATCCATTTACTCCGATTTCCCAAATCCCTGTTTGAACGGAATCACTCGTCTAGGTTTTCAGGATCCGAACAAACTCCTGTTTCAAACAAGCCGGACCAGCTTCACCAGACGAACAGTCAAGCCGCACACATGACATCACTTGTGAAAGTTGCGGTGGACCGGCTGGAGACCAAATTACTTCTCGAACCAGGTAGGCCGGAAAGGCTTTTGCCAAACTCTGGCACCTATGGCGCCTACATGACATCAGTTTTTTGTCACGCACAGAGTTTACACTACAGAAGTACGATCCATACTGCTTTATGAGTCAGAAACCTGGCCTCTACGCGCAGGGGACATACGAAAGATGACCATCGGTGTCCCCAAAGCATTGGTTGGATTTGGCGAGAACTACAAATTATTACTACTGAGTTGCGCCAGAAGGTTTTAGGAACTCTTCAACAATAGATGAGTTATACAGTTTTTTAAGTTACGCTGATCAGGGAATGCACTTTGTTTGCGAGAGGATCATCTGCCTCGAAGCGCTTATTTTGCTCGACCCTGTGCTGAGTGGAAGCGGCCGAGAGATGGACAGTGTATAACCTGGCAGCGAAGTATGTAAGTAGTAACTGCTAAACTCAGTTAGATCGACAACTGCCGCCTTCCTGGACAGGGGGCTTAATGTTTAATAGCACTGGAAGACTTGATTTATTCACTCAATCAGCAGGGCACCGAAGCAGTCGCTTTCAATGCGTAGTTATACAGTTTCCCTAACCAACTGATCATGCCATCACCTCAAATCCTTGATATATACTCCAAACTTCCCTGTTTTCCGGTGACTAAAACCGTAACCGCTAGAACCGCCATACACTTGATACATCGTTAATAGCTGACAAGCTGACTGGCTGGCATGGCTTTGTATACAGGCTAAACCAAACCACTGAAGAAACTCGAATACTACACATACTTAGAAACGCGAAAATGCCACTTAAACTTTTATAAATACGGAAGATATTTTCCGATTGAGGAAAATCGCCAGGGAAAGCTGAAAAAGGTCCGTAAAATCAGTGGAAATGGTCGGTTTACTCGTATCTTCCACCTAAAGATTTAGCGTTCTTTCTCCAAGGAAGATGACAACCAATTCGCATCCTTACCATGGGTAAAACCAGGTGTTGCAAGTTTCTTATTTTTACGGAAAAACTGGAGCTTTTGCCCGAACGGTCCAAATGCACCATGGCTTTCGCCTTTAGTGCCTGAATTTACATCGAATATCAGGTTCCGCGCGTCTTTTAACTGAATTCATCCATCGAGTCGTTAACGCTGTCCATACCTTAGAAGATGTAGACGCCTGATTATTGTTCTATCCCTGTTTGGAATTTTGTGGACCCCTTAGAGCACGCATAACTGAAGTGACAGTTGGATGTCGGCTAATTTTTTAACGAATATTTCCATTCTGTTTATAAGCGGTCCTCGGGTCATTTGATATCAACTTGGTTAACACCTGACGCAATCACTTCCTACACACTGGACAGAACATCAAAAAACAATCTACCTGCCGTAGGAGAAAAAATACTTGCACATCCACGTCAGGGGTGTGCAGTGTGACTTTTACAACGACATCCTAATAAACCGTACGCAGGGTACAACTTCCGATCATTCTTTCGGCTCGTACCAGAATAT